GTGACTGAGTTCAAATTTGTAGATTCCTATAGTTCTCCTTTTTTCTCTGCTTATCAGTTCATAAAGTTTACATTTTATTACATTTATTCCGTACTATATATCCCCTTGCTTCCTATTCTTTTGGTCTTTCAATGGCGAATACCTAAGATAAGTGTATAATTTTATTTTACTTTCAATCATTAACTATAGGTTAGTAAAAAGGAAGTTAGGAGGGGATATATATGTAAACGGAAACATCGTGATCATCATACTCGTTTAACAATATGCATTAGCATTAAGATGGATGATCAATAAGTAATCTTGCTCATATATATATATATATATATATATATATATATATATATATATATATATATATATATATATATATATATATATATATATCATTCCCAAAAGGCAATACTGAAAATCTTTTGAGATGAACAAAAATAAATTTAAGCATAAGCACACAAATTTTCGACACACTTTAGTGGTTTTATTCCACTACTCAATTATTAGTCCCACCCAACCTTATGTTTGTCTTTTTCACATATATCATCAACAAAATAAAGACTAGATGACAAAATTCTGAAAATTCAAAATTTCTTGTTCATCTAATATTGTATACACAATCAGTATACAACAAACCACACAACAACAAAAAAACATAAACCAAAATGAATAGTTCTGTATATTTCTCCATTCTTATGTACACATAAATTTTGACAGTATATTCCTCATATTTTCTTACCATTCTACCTTTTTTTTTTGTGTGTCTATTTCCACCTACAAATTGTATGATTGAGAATGTTATTATTTACTCCACCCAAAGTCAATTAAATATTTATGCATTGAGCCTGTGATGAGTTGTTGATGTTTTATACACGTGTATATTTAGATTTCTAAAGACATGTTACATATGTGTATGCATACTTTCAATGGAAAGCAACAAAAATATAAAGAGAAAGTTACTTCTACAAAGAATTACTTAAAGAATAGTATATATATTCATATATATTTATGGGTGATATATGTGACTATATTACACTCCCATAAGAATCTGATTAGTTAAAGAATTTAATATACAAAAACGGTCTAGGCATAAAGAGAAGTTTTAAATAATGTCTGGAAAATCCATGTACAGAGTAAGAGATGAGAAAAAAAATAAGAAGGATGAATTCATGGGCTTCTCTTTTTTTTTTTAATTGACATGAAGAAAAATAGTTAGTGAGATTATTTTCTTCGCCATCTCTACCTCTAGCTCTTATAACTCGTAAAATTTTCTTTGTGACTTATATGTTGCTGTTTCTTCACTGAATTACTTTACTATGCCTAACTCTTTTCTCTTCAAAGTTTGTCATGAATGATTATGTGCGCATTTGTTTAGTTAACTTATAAACTAACTAATCAACTAACCGTATCATGAAATAGCTATAAAACTAAGTACAATTTATGTTTAATCAAATCCATCAATAACGAATTGTTTAGGTTCGTGCATAATCGCAATAGATAATAGACCTCACTTTTTTTATTACTTTGGTGGTTGACTATATTTAATTCATATAAGGAAGAAGTAATAACTATGAAATTAACTAATCAGCAGACCACGAAACATGTACATAATTTACTGAGCAACACTAAACTTAATATGAATCATAATCACTTAGTTTGAGTACTTCATAATAAACTGATAGTAAATGAAAATATAGAGTTGTGTTTTAAATATTGACTCAATGGATAAACGTAAAACATTTTTTGATTTTTGGCCTACTTGTCATTAAGTAATGTTGATGGCGAACAAATTATTGGATAAAGTAATTCAGAATAATTAACATGTTTGAAGTTGACTCTTTATTTTCACCTGAGAAACCTCATTAGAAGTTGAGACTGACAGTTTATAAATTAAAATCATTTGTCATTTAAAAAAACCGTATAACATGGAATAATAATGTAATACTTAATTCTGAGGTGTTGCGTTTGACAAATCTCATTTTTATTACGAGTATTTCTATGAAACTGTAATACCTTTAAAGGTAAATGAGAAATGCGAGCAAACATATCTCATTTGAGTGTGTTATTTTGCTGTCTATATCTTGATTGCTGAAGTTTTAAAAATGAGCGTTTTTTTAACACCTTATTTATTCAATCAATATCCGTCATCAATTTAGTTAAAAGACGATCAGCAAACATTGTGCGATCAAGTGGATTCATTTCATTTTGTATGCTCTAAATATTCCATATATGCACTGATTTTTATAAATAAATAGTGTTTTACAAATATAATTCTTTGTGTAACATACATAAACTCATTCGACTCACTACTAAAGAATGGTTACAACGGCTTATCACACTGATACAAGTTCAGTTTATAGATGAATGGAATAAGCGCTAGATAGAGATCATGACACAATCGAGTACAAAAAGTATGCGCAGGTTGTTATGATTACGATAGACAAGATGATAATATAAATATTTATTTACAAAAAGACAACACAACTAATTAGTTGTGTTCTAATTAGTCGTCACTGTATATTTTCAGCAATATAACTGATAATAATCTACATCAGGACGATAACATAACACACACGACTGATGTGGTAAACTACCTGGAATTAAATGAAACGTTTTCTAAGATAATTTGAACCTGCACAACTTTTTAATTAGAAGCAAGTTTAAAAATACAAGTTGTTGACTTAAACTCTAATAACCTTTTCGTCACAGAGTATATTTGCAAGATAATGTATTGTAGATTCTTTCCATCCTAGCTTGAGTGCATGGATTCTAATCCATTGACGTCTTGTTCTACCAGAAGATATATGAGGAGAAAGATATGAATGAAGTGGATGGTTAGTATCTAATAAGATAACACTTGTTAGGAATTCGCAAGACTTTAAATGTCTATCCACAAACATATTAATGATGACTTCAAAAGATTCATCACATATCCTACTAACTGACTTCAGCACTCTCCGCAATACGACGAAGTCTCTTCTCAAAAGCCTGGGAAAGAATAATGGGGAACAGTAAAGAATAGTAGGTAATGTGCAAGAATTGACAAATTGTAAGCGTAAATATCGAGTGATCTCAAAAGCAAGCAGTCTTTATGTAGTAAGTCAGACAGAAAACGTTCTTCGATCACAATAAAACATGAGAAGATCAAGAAAGATCAGAAGAAAAATTTGCACCAATGACTTTTGACACTGTGTTTATAAAAGAATCTCCAATGGTACAAGTTTTATGGAATTCCAACGGCGTGTTTAAGTTCTGTTCATATATCATGCTAAAGTTAACAGTTTGACATTTAGACAGGTTAAGTGTGAGATCATTAACAACAGACCACCATTTAATACGAAACAAGAACTCATTCATTTCCAGGGGATGTAAATAGATAGAAATCTGCATACATACAGTGAGACTGTTTGCATATTTAACAAAAGTGTTTCCTGTGGAATATCGCAGATCATCCAGAAAAAAATAGAAAAGAACACCTCCTTGTGGCACACCTTCATGAGACAGTAGAGACGTCGGACACTTTCCTCCAAACATGGTGTGCTGTTCTCTTCCAGAGATGTAGGGACATGGCCAGTTGGTTATTTAGCAGTCAGTGTTGACACTGATTAACTTGTTAAGTCGAAGTTATCATGGGATATAGTCAAAGGCAGAAGTACAGTCCACAAAAGTTCATAGGACATAGTTCTTAGTCTTTTTCCAAGCTGAACAGTATACTGAGATGCAGAAAAACAGCAGCATCAGATATGTCTTTTTTACATTTGTAAGCAAAATGATACGGATCAATGTACTCTTTCAGTGCAGATTGAGGTGGGAGTATCAATAATTTCTCCATTGTTTTGAGAAAAGGTGAATTCATTGCTCAGGGTCTAAATTTCACGCTTTTATCACCAGATAACTTATCTTTATCTTTTTCCACATTTTCGGTATGAGATTAGTTAAGAAGTATCTGTTAAACGTGTTCGTGAATGTATAACACAGGACGTCAGCACACTTTTTAGAAAGTAAGTTTAGGATTTCACCAGGTCCTAAACATTGCTACGAGTTAAGTGACTGTAGACATTTTCGGATATTAGTTTCAATGATAATTGGAACACTACTATTCTTCAAACCTGTGGATATAAGGAGATGAAATCAGATGACTGACGTACAAAATACTTATTTAAGTCACAAATATTCTGCTAGTTATCGCTTCTAATATGTCTCTCACCTGTAAGTTCTTTAACTAGTTTCTACATACTTGAAGGATTTTTACAAGATAAAAGTTTCTAAGTAAACATTGAGTTCAGACGTCTAATTTCCAGGTTTATTAGACTATTTAGCTCTCGAACTTCAATGGAGTTTTTCTCCTTGCACATTCTTTCTTTTACCCGCCTCAATATCTAGATGGCAAGAACATGTAGCCCCAATAGTCAAGCAGGCCGCCGTCGTTGGAGATAAGTAGAACTTGAGATTTTATCTTTACTTACAGTATAGAAATAATTAATGAGTAATTTTTAACTTTAAAACTGTTTTTTTAAAAATCAAATATGGCATAATACATATTCATATAAATATGTATATGTCAGTCATTGGGATCTTTTCATTTTTTCAAATCAGGTCTTAGTTGATATATTAGTAAATTAGGGTTTATTCATTCCATGTTCGAATTTCAAAGTGAAAGTGAGACTTCAGATTAAGAAAGATCTGGTAAATTTGATTATTAAATTTCCTAATCATATATCTGAACACTTTTGGATATTAGAATGAGTCGGTTGAGATTCACTATTTGACGTGTAACTAAACAGATAAAAAGTCGATATTATTCTAACATGATTAGAATCAGAATTAGGTTCAATAATATGGCAGTACATAGTTACTGTCCTTCTACAGTTCATCTGAGAAAAAACGCGGTTAAATTATAACTTATTTTAAATACTATAAGGTAACCGCTACAATTTTAATCAGTTTATCACTAAAGCTATTTAATACTGCCAATTAACTGTTTAGTTAATCCATAGGTAACTAAGTTAATAAAATTCATACATTTTTATTATTATAAGTTGCTAATTAAAATACGGTAACATGATCGTATATTTCACGTTGATACGCTATAATAACATGATTATTTAATGAAATATCACAAATATACCAGCTTACAACGTAATTATTTTTAATTACAAACTTAAGTGAAATAATAAGAGCAGAAAGTAATAGAATTTAGGAAAGTGATGTATACACACAAACATTGATTAGAACTGATGTAAAGACTCAGATCACTAACGAAGAGAAAGAAAAACTTGAAACTAAAAGAACCAACGAAAGGATACATAGTTATTAATATTAAGGATAATGGTGATCTTAGCCAAAATAATCGATTGTGATAGATATTTAATTTTTTGTTAATATTAACATTATTGGTGGTTTTTACCAATGTTATGTTAGTTTTTTCTATTTCTACCTGCTTAATCTAATTTATGTTCGAGTTGCAGAGTGATGCAACATGCCAAGTGTAGAGAATTTCATTCGTTTTTGTTTTTGTCGCTGATTACAAAACCAAACTCTGACAACGTTTTTTTTTAAATTTAATTTTTCTGCGATCTGTGCAATTTTCTCTGATGATGGACGTGGTTGAATACTGAAAAATGCTTCAAGTGACCTTTTCTCTGAATCTGTTATTGAAGTTCGTTTGCGTCTTCTTTCTTCGTCCAAGTCATAAATATTTGGATGATTCAATCGTGAACTTGCTTCAGCTTCAGCTTCTTCAAGCCATGCTTGTAGAACAGGTTTCAGTGCAACCATATTATTATGTGATAGGGTTAGTGATTCAAAACGACATATAGTTGACTGAGATAATGACCCAACACCAGATATTTTTAAATTACCAAGTGCTTTACCAACGTCAGCCTGTGTGACACCAAGTTTTATGCGTCTTTGTTTGAACAATTCAGAGAATGCTTCCAACTCTCTTGGATTATAATCCAGTTCAACTGGATGACGATAAATTGATGAATTTGAATGATTACAACCCAAAATAGTAGAATGTGTAAAATTTTGTGAAGAATATCCACTTGACGAATTTAAACGAGTCTTAAAGTTTGGTGCTACTATACCGTCTGTCAACTGCGAGTGATTATTATCAACAGTGCTACCATTAAAACCATTTATGGGTGGTAATAAATAACAATTTAAACTTGTTTTGAAATTATTTGTTGTTGTTCCTGCTGCCAAGGTGACATCATTTGGAAAGTTTAAATTGTAATCACAGTTACCACAGTTGTTGATGGTCATAAATTGATTATGACTATGATGATGACGGTGTTGCTGATGGGCATGATTATATGTGCCTAAACAGTGTTCTGCGCAGTCATATTCATCTTCAAGTTTATTATGAGTGTTGGATGGCACTGATGCAGGATGACTGTTGTTATCTATATTGAAAATATTAGTATTTGCAAAACCTCCCACCATATTTCCATTTGTATTCAAGTTACTAGATGATAGACCATACAAATTCTCCTGTGTAAAATTCGATTGGACAGTATCATATGATGTTCTAGTGAAATTGGTTAAAAAATTATGTGATATACATGGGATCATCGTATCAAAGCTACTAGTATGTTCATTAAAGTTTAATTCATTGCTACTGTTATTGGTAGCATTAGGTAATGTAGTGGTTGGTGTTGTTATGTTACTATGAAAACGTAGTTTATTCATAAGTAAATTATGATTTGAATTCCAATGATTTTTAATATAATTAATTTCATTATCAAAACTTAAAGAATCAACATGTTGATCATTTTCTTTCCACATACATTCATTATCGAAATTTGAATGTGATTTTTCAATCGGATGAGGTTGTGAATGCAAAGTATGTTGATGACTAGTTCGCACTGAATCATCATTTAAATTCTCTGTTGATTGGGATGAATAAGATAATGGTGGTGAATGGTCATCTGTTTGATTGATTAACTTTTCATAAGCACTATTCTTATTATTATTTTTACTAGTGTTATTTACGAACGATGAGCTATTGTACATCGAATCTGAACATTGATTAGCAGACTGAGATTTATAATTTAATAATAATTGTTCATTATTATTATTGTCGGCCTTGATGTTATCTAACATATCACTCTCAGGTGTTGAATGCCACTCCAATATGGATGTTGTAGTTGTAATTTCATTATTCAACATTTTTTGTGAATTTGGTTGTTGTGGAGAAGATGATGATGACTTATGTAACGGTGTTGTGGATGATCGATTATTGTACAAATTGAAGTTTTCATGATTTGTTACCATAGGATTTAAACAAGAATCATTGATTTCTGCACTTTCAAACGATGTTTGGTAACTTTTATCCGTGGTTATTAAGCTGTTCAATTTGTGACTGTTATTTATTTGCTTTGTTTTAAATTCATTACCAAAATATAAACGCGATTTCTTTGAGTTTTCGTTCAATTCACTTGTTACTATTGTACGTAATCGATTTGAACAAATATTACTATTTTTACAACTTGTACTAGTATTACTACTATCACTTCCATCGATAGTTAATATATGCTGTTTATTTTCCATTTCCATCAGTTCATTCTTATTGAATTCATTTAAATAGTTTGGATAATTTGAAAATTGATTTGTATTATAATTTAATTCAGTTTCATAATCTAAATTCGATGAATGGGTTTTCAATCGACTTGGGCCTATTGGACTTTTGTCATCTGATGAATTATAACCATACTTTGTATTTTTATTAAAATCAGTTTCTGTACGATTGTTTATCACATCACTGGTTTCATTAATTTCATTGCTATTGTCAATATTATTATTGTTACTATTATTATCAATAGTTTTATTACAATTATGTATTTCACCAAATCTAGTCAATTCCAAATTATTAATAAGTGTTTGAGTTGTAAGTAAATTATCTTCATTTGTTTGACAACATTCTGAATAATTTGAATTTAAATTGGTGCGCCCAAAATGTTCATGAGATGATTCAAAATTCATAGTACATATTTGATGACGATTATGATGATGGCTGTATGATCTCTGATTACTATTAGTATGATTATGATGATGATGATCATTATTATTACCGGCATATGAATTTGATTGAAATAATCGATCAAACCATTGATGACTTGCTATGGCTAAAATAGGATTCAGTTTATTTGATTCAACAATATCATTTGAACATTTGATTATTTCGTCTTTATTAACAACATTATTACTATCAGTAGTAGAATTAGTTTTATTATTAGAATTAGTGTAATACATTTCAGTGTTAAATGCATTAAACATTTCTGAATTGAAAGAATTTGAATAATGAAGTTTACGATAAGGATTATTTGTTTTCATTAATTTTCTTGATTCATTTGAGCACAAATTTAAATCATTTGATACATTTTCCATTGTATTCATTTGAAAACATTGATATATGTCATTCATTTGAATGATAAACCAGTATGTAGATTATTTATCTGTGATAAGAGAAATTATATGTTTATTAAATTGTGTAACTAATACTAGTTTAATGTATGCTAAGATTAATTGTAATACTAATAATAAAATTTGAGATTAGATGGTGGTTGGAGGTAGTCGACAGGAAATCCTGTCGACCACCATCTAATCTCAATATATAGTGCCCGCAGTGTCGAGTCACCCAGACTGGTAGCCACATTGCAACATGATCGATAGCATTCGATCTGCACTAATAAGGACTAGACACGCATGACATTGATCGTCACTCAGTGATCAATCAATTGTGAATAATAAAATCTATTTAAACTTATATTTTAGTAGGCTAAAATTAATGCTCAGCAAAACAAAACAGAAGTAAATGTTACTGAACGTTGGATTTAATAAATAACATGTTCTACGTTTTATATTACGATGAAGAAATTAACTTGAAGGCAACTATAATGTTGAAAATTTGATAGATATTCATAAAAAATTAGATTTCTCCAATCAACAAAAGACTTAATGCACAAATGCTCTAAACATTGTTTGTATTTGATAAGAATCAGCTAATTTGTACACAGTTGAAGTTGTAATGTAAAGTAATGGGCGAATCATTACTTTGTAAGTTGCATAAATGAATTATAATCTGTTGTATCTCAGTAATTTGTCTCAAGAAATATTGTTCATTCAAGAGTCAAAAATGATGATCCTACAGTACTGTGAATTAAATAAACTTGTAGCCTACTAAGTAACATGGAATGTCCTGGGTTTGGTCTTTTTGTGGGTTCGAATGTTCAACTCTGGTTAATCACAAATCGAAAATATACATTTATTTGTTATTTGATATCTGTTTTTTTTTTAATTTCTACAATAACTTGTGTCAGTTGTTCACAAAAACTATCTTCGAACTAGTCTTTTCCCCATAAAATAATTAAAAAGAATCCAACTGAGTTCATAAATTAATCCAAGTTAAATAACCACTGAAAACGTGGAAGCACTGGATGGCTGTTTTGTCCTAGCATGGGATTACTGTATTGAGTGAAATTCATGTTACCTTCTTTCCTTAAAGTATTATTCTTGATAAAACAACAAAACTTAAATTATCACTAAATTTTTCTGTTATCAAAATATAATGATCAGGACAATGAAATGCAAATTGGTGTATAATATAAAGTTATATTCATTGATTAATAAGGCACATTCTAAATTTCTGCACTAATTATATGCGTAAATATGACTGTTTGTTTTCAGTTTGAAAAATATGAATTATACTATCAAAAATTGTTATAGACAAAGATATGAGTATAAATACCAAGTACATATTGATATATGAATATTTGTAATATCATTTAAATATTGGTATCAGTATTCTAATAAAGTGGATTTCCTTAGTGATTTCCATTGTTTCTTCTTTATTTCCTTAATAAGTATTTCCTGCTCTGATAAGTTTTTTGAAGAAATCTTAAGATAAACAAAAATGTGTTGTAAATATTATGTTTGAAGTAGATAATACAATATCTGGTGATATTTTGGTTTTGAGATTAAACTAAATGCAACAATGAACCCCTCCGTGGGCACTGCCGGTCCCATGCCTGGATAAAGGAAGAGAGTTGGGCATGTGGTTAGAGACTTGATCCTGTAGAAACCTAACTCGCTATGAAAAAACGCTAACCAAAAAATAACAATGATTTAGGATTAAACACAAAGTAATTTTGTGATAGTAACTTGGACTTTACGATGATGATTAAGAAAAATAAGTTCCATTAAAAACAAATCAACAGTTTTCTTAAACCTTTAAACTTTCATGAATTTTAGCAGAAACAAATATCTAATACCTGTCACTATTGAGTAATGTGTAATTTTAATTAAAATTTATAAACTAAAAGGAGGAAATTAACGCCTCTGTTATTTCCATCCTCACTATACTAAAAAAAAGGTAAAAAGATTTTGCTAAAATTGACCACTGAAAAAAGTTCATTTATAGATTTCTAACCACAAGAATTTCTAAAACCACAAAATGACTAATTATTATTAGATATAATATCATTCTCTTCTTTTATCTTCGAAATGAAAGCATACATTGTTATTGCTAATGTCATGTCAAACATTAACTTCATTCATTTTAGAACAAAAAAAAAAGAACTAATGGCACGTGTTGATTAAGGAGATTGGATTTAGTAATAAATGAATCAGTTGACTAAACTATATGAATTATGGGTGTAGTAATTAGCACAAAGGTATTTCAAAGACGCTATGCATATATATATATATATATATATATATATATATATATATATATATATATATCATTAAGTGTTCATGTGTGACAAATATTTTGCGTGAATATAATAAATAAGAAAAGTCATAGTGTACTTTATAAAAAAAAAGAGAAAGTTATTTGAATAATTATCATTTCTTCTTATTCCACCATCTCATTGTCTTTCCTTATCTTTTTTATTTGTTCGTTAAAAAATTCACATATTGAAATGTTTCTTCTTTTTGAAGAAGAAGAAGAAGAAGAAAAAAGAGTCATAGAATGAAGATAGAAGATGAAAAAGAAGAAGAAGAATATAAATTTACTGTTCATTTGACAATAAAGTATGTTTGTTTTCAAGAGGAAATATTGATGTACTTAATTTATTTCATTTCTGTTTTGCTGTTACAGTTTTGTAAAGTTGTGAAATCTGTAATGATATTCTTCAATTAGATACAACTATAGAAAATACCTTTCTCCTTTTTCTTTTTTTTAAAAAAAATAAGCAAGTTAAGTATAGAAAAAGAATAATTGAGAAAGTAATACTCATTTCTTATTTAAAGTTGTTTTTTTTAGCTTTTTTTATTATTATTTCTGTTATAGGAAATACACATGGGAAATTATGTACTTTTATTTGAAGTTATCTTAATAAAATGAATGAAAATTGGTATATTTTCTTGTTTCTATGTTTTCAAGTTCATTCATAGAAGGTTAATAATAATTAGAAAATGAGCATTATAAGGTGTGGGGGGAGAGAAACAAACAAACAAACAAGAAAATCAGATAGATAAGGTTGTATCGCGATAAGAATAATGAATGGTAATTTTTGGGATCCATTTATGGACCAATATTATGAGTATATTTTTATCGCATAATTGTTTCGTAACTAAACTGTTCATATTCATGCCCCTCTTATTATGAGCTTTATTTTGACCTATGAACTATTATTATACGATTTACCATTCATGAATTATTCCCTGTCTGTTAATCGCTACCTTCCTCATTCACAGCTACTTCTGGCTAATTATTGTACAAATGTTATTTTCTATTTTATTGATACGTTGTGGTCGGGTTGATTGGTATATAAACAGAGTTTGTTTGAAATATAATGATTCATATCTCAGAGGCTGAGATTTGTGTTCTGGACTCAACTGGCTGGGCTAGACAGGGAAGCAGGGCCAATCGGGACTCTAGGTTGTTCTTATGTGTTTTACGCGTCTTTGGTCCGATCGATAATACGTTGCGCTCTAATCTGCAGTCACAAGTTATAACAGATAAATGAACAGATTTTTAAAGAATTTTGATTTATTATTAGAATTATTTAATAAAATAAATTTCTGATTATTATCAAGTTCAAAATTGGCATAATATTGTCTTAGTAAATAATCACTCTTAAACCGTTCATCTGAATTATATTAATTTTTGTTCTGTTCATCATAAAGCCCAGTTTTATTGTAATCAATAATTTTATTGAAAAGCTTTTTATTAAAATCATAAAAGGTAGATTTTTGACAGAATAAAGATAAAAAACCATTGATATTTTATGAATTATATTAGAAAGTTATGTAAAACAACAACCAGAACTATGCGTACAAAAGAAGTACGTTTTATCGTTATCGTTACCTTGGCCTTAATTATTTTGATTATCCTATTATTATTATTATTATTATTATTATTATTATTATTATTATTATTATTACTGCATTCCTCTTTTACTTATATCTTATATTCTCATTGTTTTATTCTTAAATGCTCATAATATCACCTTATTTACTATTTTTACACCTCTATGACTTTTAATTATTATAACAAAAACATTTTAATCATCTTATCATATTCACTAAATCTATTGTTATTATTCGTATTACGTAACCTAGTATTATAACCTTTTTTATTACGTCATGGTTAACTGTGTTCACATTTCCTCACGGAATTAGTACTTTTAGAGAAACAACATTTTTTTTCTCTGATATAATTATCTACATTGTGAAAACTGTGTAGTATGAGTAAATTATTATCACTATCAGCTTAAGACTATTAAAACTACTGACTCGTAAAATAAGGCAATAAACTGAATTCTTATCATTATTCTTATCATTTATAACTGAAATTATGAAAGTGATTTAAATTCTGAAACAACGTTTATTTGCAGAAGTTTTGTTTTCACTGTTCTTTTAATTCTCAGAACAAAATTTTCTTTATCATAGGAATCAGAAGATAAACATTAAACTGTTTAATTGTGTAAAAATTGTCTCTGAGATAATCTCAGAAGTTGAAACTCAAACGATTCCAGCGCGTCATTCAAAAATCTTGTCCGAACGTTTTTAGACTAATAATCAGAATCACAAATATGATTTTGAAATCTTCTCAAACATAATTTTCACACATAACATCTATATATTTGACGCCCAATTTCCATTAAAATTATTAATCCAAACTCTGTTTTTTTTGTTCTCATGAGAAATTGTAATGATGTTTTATTTTTATCCTTATACTTTACCCATTGAACCTGATGACACAAGTACATTGCCATAATTCATGAATTCTGTCGGCATGATTGAATAATAAACACAATGTCAGAGCCGTATAAGCGTAATTACTGTAATGTTAATAAAAGTTTAGGGTCAGTCTCTTTGGTACTTTGTGGAAAAGTTGTTATATATCCTATTCATATATCAATTAGTTTATTATTCTGTGTCATTAAAGTCTCCAAAGCGTTACAATACACATTAAACAGTATTTTGAAAATGATATTTAATCACGAAAATCCACATCAATACAGTATGTGGAGGTGGGAAATGTAGTAGATTAAAACAAATGGAGTTATACTACAAGTGGTATCCGTTTGAAAGTTAAACCTACCCATAATCATTGATTTTAACACTGAAACTATTTCTAGCTATGCCGTTTACATGTTAGTTACAAATTCTTCCTGTAAACCCCTTTCTGTATGTTAAGTATTGTTTACACTTATGATACAGGTTTTTTCTTGAGATACTCTATCTTTACTCGAAGGAAATAAAATAACCAAAAATACTTCACTGTCAACAAAATGTTTTTTTTTCTTTTGGCATTTTTCATTTATAAAAAGTTAGTTAAAAACGTGTAAACTTTAAAAATAATAAATTACTGTTTTGAATAATTGAATTATCAAGGGAATCGTAAAGTTAATATATTTGTAATCAATCACTAAACCTTTATTTGAGATGAAAATCTACTAAGATTGAGCTTATAAAAATGACACAAATGTTTTCAAAATGATGATGTAACACTGAATATGAGATAAAACAGCACGGATATATTAACAAACCTGAAAGAATAGAATAAAAAAATATATAGTATGTGTTCTTAGGAGCTCATATACAATACACCACACTAGAAGTTGAAAACTTTCAACGTGAGTATATTTGGTTTATTTCAAATCAGTTACTCATACACTAAAGTGGATTTGAGGAAGATGGAACATCTTTGAATTGAAGACCATTCGAAGATATATCTTATAAATGTAGTTTCAGAAAACTTACCGACAGGAATTGTGATGAAGTAAGTTATTAAATGGGATCATTAGTTCGTGGAAATTTATAAAAACTATAGAAACATTTGTTAACAAGAAACATATTGCATAAATTATTTTTCTTAAAACTTATTTTCTAGTTTCTTTATTCCCTTACTAATATTGAACATAAATTAAAGTGATCCGTTACATTTATAACTTATATGGTTTAAAAATCAGATTTTTAGTTGTGTAGGCGAGAAAAATAATATCCGGATTAGGTTTCGCATGGAATTCATCTAAGCTACACCGGTTTATGTAGTACATTTTAAAATCAACTTAGTAGTCTGAAACAACGGCCAATTATTTATCAAATACTTAATTTATTCAAATAATTTTTTTAATAATTCCATTACTTTTAGTGTCAGATAGATCAAGCGAAGAGATAGTAATATGTTAGTAATAGTATGGGATGTCTTCCTCACTAAAAATAGATGTTCACTATTGAATTTGTTCACTAATAACATATATAGTATTAAAATAAAAGATAATTGACTTTAAACATTGAATGACATTGAAAAAAGATTCATAAAGAGTAATATTTGAACGATTCTATCTTTTCATTCATCACTATACATCAGTGAAAACGTTATGAATTTCTTCACTTCAGTATCTTCTTAGTGTCAGTTAATGAAACTAATTAGACTTATGATAATGTTGCAATTAATTAGTCTAATTACTTACCTTATTATGCATTTAGATACATTTTAGGCTTTCCTAGAGTAGTATTATTTATTCCACATCTTCCATTCACTGTTAGTGAGGTAATCTAAGCTAATGATAGGCCATTTATGGTCAGACACCAATTCTTCTAAGTGTATCAAATAATTTGTATACTCCTTTTGAGAGAAAAATATTCTATCATGTATTCATTATATTACATATTTTAACAAAATAATTCTAATAAGAAACTGTTATCCATACTATTCAAAGTGTTAATGCCAAAAACAAAAATTATTTTCCACCCTATACCATTTGATAGAAAAGTTTGAATAAGTGGAATATTTTAATAAAATGCATTTTGAAAAAAAATTTCCATTTCGTTTCTTATAGTTCCTTGTGTGTAAGTTTTTAATCTACAAGGATCCATTGATAATTTTATATCTTGACTGGCTTATAATAAGTTAATTAATTTGTACCACTTTTTAGACTTAGAAATTACTCTCCATATTATAATTTCACTATTGATTATATATATAGATACTTTATATAAATGAAAAAGAAAAACATAGCGATAAGAATAATAGCCTTAATAATCAAATATTACTGACATTAGTGACAGATAAAACTAAAACTATTTACATTTTTAAATTCACTTGGTATTGTTTACTTAAATCTTCTCATTGACGTTTAGGACTGCAATCGATCTGTCTCTTATTGGCATATGTGCATACTATGCGTATTGCCTCGATATTGCCTTAATTCATAAGGATTATAAACAAAGATGGGTAGTGACTAGCAGTGGAATTCAGAACGTGAAATTCTTTCTATTTAGGACTCGTCAACTGGATGTACTTGCATCTCAAAGTTGATGTTCACTCTGGGATTCGAACCCAATATCGTTCGTTTCAAACGCCATCGTGTTATCCACATAACTTTTTATCAGAATTTAAATATTGTCAATATTGAAGTTTATTAACTTTAAAGATTCAATGTATTTGATTATTATCATTAAAAATTAATATCGTTTCACTTTTACAAAAGATTGTAATAACAAAAATTCAGATGATCCACGATTAATACACTTAAATTTTAATCAATAATGATAATGTTCAAAAATTTATATTCTTACTTTTTATTAGTATTGAAGTTTGATTTCTTCAGATGATATACATTTTGGCATAAATATATTTAGGTTAAAAATTATCAGATAGTTAATCAGTTTATATGAAATAAAATATTATGAATGTATGTACAACAAGAACAACACCAACAACAACCAGAGAATAAATAAAGAGTTTAACAACAATGTTAATTGTGAGGAAGTTTAGAAAATTGACTTGACAAATAAAGTATGATTATTATTAAATAGATTTTGATTGCTTTCACTCTTAAAAGATTGTGTTTACAAAATATGAGTAGCATATATTGTTATAGGAAGATATGTTTCAATATTATAACTTTTAATCATTTGAAGTAAAACTATATTACTATATAGTGCAAATGTCTCATGTTAACAAAGAATGTTAATCTTCACAAACTTTAGTTTAAAAAGATTGGTAATGATGGCGAAATGAGATTGTTACTATGTTCATCATTTTTTTTGTATGATTTGCCTTCTCATATAACTTTTAATTTCTGTCTGGAATGATTCTGTTTTTTTGAATAGATGATTGGATTGGTTGAGTATAGTTTGAGAAAGGAAGAAATATTTGCTTCTTTTCTGTTGAATTCATTTTCAGTAATTCTCAGGGGGGTCAACCAACTGGAGACAGATGCGTTGTTTAGGTTATCATATGATATGTAGCAAAATTTTTCTTCTCTTTTTCGCTTTTTGAATTTGTTCGCTATTGATATTTTTCTGATACTTAAATAAACATGCATATACAATACATATACAGACAAAGTGAAGCATACTCATAGCTTTAAAGCAATGGGATTGCGGTAAAAGAATAAAATAATGTGTGTATGTATAGGAGAAGAAGAGAATTTGTATGTTGCTAATTATTTTAAACGAAGCAAGATACTTAGGACTAAAATTTATGATCAATATTTACATACTATTATTTGCTCTCTGATAGAAGAATAAACAGATCAGTATTGTGAGAAATATTTAAAGACAGGTTTTTGGTTTCACTTGTTATGATAAACCTTCCGTTTCTGCAAAGTAAATAAAACTTAAGTGTTAACAAAATTTCACTTAACTTTTAAATTACATTAATAATAATTATATTGTTGATACCCAACTGATTTATTATCATTCTCTTGAAAACTGACTAAAATCATTTAGATAAATATTTTATAAACTCAGTATGATGATTACGAGTATTTGAATTACAGTACGAACTAATAATCCTAGAAGTAACGTAGTTGGATCAAGAAGTACTAGATAAGCACGAACGAATATACTGTATTTGGAATTCGAAATCAAGCATTCAACAAGTACCAAGGAATGATTATTTCATTCAAACACCACATCCGCCACAACTTGAATTAGAGTCCAAGTGTCTGTAATCGATTTTACGTCTTCTTAAGTTCATCCTGTGTCTGTCCGACATTGTATTGGATAAAAACTTTGTATTATCTAGAATATTCTAATTAGTACTGGAATTAACAACTGAAATCAGAACAGACTCACTTAGTTCCTGGGATTGTATACAATCGCCGTGTCGGTTGTGTACTGAAACGACTATCTAGAATTTAAAGCACAGAGTTTCCAACACTATCCTCCCCCAAGAAATAATGTTGAATCTTTATATACCCAAGTTATGAATGATGTGGCTTCATTTAAAACATATTTCTCACATTGACTAGAGTAAACATTAGAAGTGACTTTGTGATAAGGATAAACAGCAGTTGATATGAAATCATCCGAATTGTAATCAAAATTGAGCTCATTTAGTACTTGTGCTTCGGATTGAACAAGTTTTTCACAAGGAGCAAATGCATTATGAGGAAAAATAATATTTGATATGGCATCAAGATTGAACTCTTCTGAAACAGTTTCGTCGAATTTATTAAGAATGTCATTGCAGAGTAAAGAATCATTAGAAAAATCAGCATCTATCAAAATTACATCAGGTTTTCGATCATGACTTGCAAGTAATTTCGTCAGAAATAGGTGAATCATTAGGAAAAACCATATCTGGTACAATAACATGAGAAATCTGATAAGTCAATTGATTAGAAACTGTTGTCTCGCAAGAATTCTGAGTTTCATTTAACTCGGAACTGCTTTTGAAATTGTTGATAAAGATAAATGATCATTATAAATATGCAAGTTGTGGTGTATGCTACTTATATTGACATAAGTAGTAGATGACGTTAGTTGTGAACAGAATGTCTGGCAGCATAGAGACAAGAGGATCGAATAGTAAGGAATGGAAACAGGATGAAATTTGTATGAAAATGCAAGAACAATGAAGTCTGAGTCATTATGAGACAAATGGTGGACATTTTGCAAATTAAGCATTTACTTTATGGTTGTTAGATTTTATTAACAAGCCCTGTAATTTTTTTGCTACGTACGTTGCGTTATCCGCACTAGTGTTCATGTTCACTACAAACTTAATAGAATCAGAATTACGAGACTAATTATTAGTTGCAGCAAGATGAACAGTAGTATTACAATCTGACTGAATATTCCCAATATCACCACATTTAAAGCACTTAGAATTATGAAATTTACGTGACTTAAAAGAGTGGAACCTGCCACAGGACAATCATTGACCAAACTGGTGCTCATCTTCGTAAACTGCATCACAACGCAATGAATTATCTGCATAACCTTGAGTACGCACTGGGTTGGAATGACGTAATGCAGTGGAATTTTTTATATCCTCATGAATTATTTTACGAAATCTTCCTCCTTTACCACATTCGAAATTTGTATACTTAACATAGTCTAGCAGTAGATCATTGAGAGTTGTATAAGAAAGCGAAATGTGCTTTTCCGGTAAAGCTAAAGTTTTTAATATGCTATATGCTTCTTTCCCGATGAATGTGAGGAAATGTGCTACAATATTAACATCCTCATCATCTTCCTTATTCATGGCCCAGATTTCGAACCTTTCAAAGTAATCCTCAAAAGCATCAAAATCTGAATGTATATCCAACCGTTCCATCACAGGCTCCATCACCAACGCCAATATGATGATTAGGAGTATTTGAATTATAGTACGAACTAAGAATCTCAGAAATAACGCAATTGGATCAAGAAGTACTAGATAAGCACGAACGAATATACTGTATTTGGAATTCGAAATCAAGCATTCAACAAGTACCAAGGGATCATTAGTTCATTCAAATACCATTCTCAGTTTTCGTTGAATACTTCCTTAAGTTATTAAAAATATACACACTCTAAATAGAATATTGTTTCAACGAAACAAATTAGTAAAGATGTATAATTGTTATATAAGAGCATAATACTTGTTAACCACTCAAACACTAATTAATTAGCTAATATATATTTAACACTTATTGTAGAGCAAAGTACATGAAAAGGCGTAAAAATGGATAATTTTTTTTGAAATGTCTCTTTCTAAAAGTGATATAAAACTTTTTTCAATGTACACTAATTTACTAAATGAAGTCACAAGAATCTTATATATTCATCTTTGCTTTTAATATCACTTCCAGTTACTTCAGATACTTCATGTTTATAGTTGCAATGTCATGTTAACTTTATACTATTAAATACCATGTGTAACTTCATATGTAATAATTTTTGATACTAACCTATAACCTAGTTGTTGAGATAATAACCTATAACATAGAAAATCACTAATTCTACACTTACCTAAAGTTCAAACACTAATAAGAATATATACCATGAAAATATATGCAATAAGTATCTAAACTACTGAATGTTATTTGATCCGAGTATACAGAATACATTATAAAATTTATATTTCAATCCAAAGTCATATTTTTACTTAATACTCCAAATGAACGAAGACATTTTGGACTATAGAAAACTCGTTTATAATGATTTTGTAAATAATAATTCATTTTAGTATTCCAAATCTTTCCATTATTTTAGTGTTCAGATTAAACTATCATTTATAATCACTGACTTTTCATGATAAAATGTTTGTTATAGGTAGTCAAACTAAATTCGAATTTGTTGGATAGGTATTTGATGGGGAGTTGAGGAATTACTTTACTATACTTAACTAAACCTATTACTCCTCGTGAAGAAGGGTAGACCTCTCACCAAAATTCTCCATCCAACTCTGTCATTGGCGATTCTTTCCAGTTGTTATTTACCCTTTGGATGTCTGCTTCCGATTCCTGGTGCATTGTGTTCTTCGGTCTTCCTCTTTTCCGTTTCCACAAGGTAGCGCCTGCCCCATGATGCAGTTTGGTATATGCTACTTATGGCAACAGATATAAGTAGTACGTAACGCCAATCGGAAGTGGAAACCCTGGTAGCGGAAGGCTAGGAAGATCGGATTGAGGAAATTAACAGCTCAAATAGGAAGGAATTTTGAAACGAAAGAGTCATTCAGAATATAAAGGACAAATTATTTAAATTTGCAAGCAACGTATTCAATGTATGGTTCTCATATTTTATCAAGATTTTGTGTAATGTTGTATTAAATGGTATTCGATTGTCCATACCTGTGTCCTCATTTGTTACGATTCCCACAATTTGTGTCTTATCCACCTCTAGCTTCTTTTCCTGGTTTCTTTTTCAGTTGAGAGTTGGTTTATTTCCTCCCACAGTAGGCTGTTTCTGATGGTATCCGGCAAAAGGGCATTGAGTATCTTGCGTAAACAATTGTTTATAAAGAATTGTACATTTTTGGTGATGTTCATAGTAGTTCCGCAAGTTTCAACTCTGTACAGTAGAGCTGTTCTGATGTTCTTATTGAAGATTCTGAATTTGATGTTGAGTGACAGTTGTTTTGAGTCCCATATGTCCGTCAGCCGTAGGAATGAAGTCCTTGCTTTGACAATCCTCGCCTTCATACCTATATCAGTTGCTTCTATGTCTGACTTTGGTGCTTCGGCTGGTATATTGTCAGGCCCTGCTATTTCCCCACTCTTGATTTGTCTGATGGTCATCTTGATTTATTCGATAGTTGGTGAGGTGACATCAATAAGAAGGTCTGTGGGTACTGCTTCGATATCTGGTGGATTCGATGGAGCTAGTCGACTACAGCTTCTTGTGAAACTGATCTTTATTACCGTCGTTGCTATCATTGGTGGGTGCTCAACATTGGATAGCATTCGTTTGGATTCCATCCAATGGGCTCCATTGATTCTGAGAACCGACAAGTTGTATCTCCTCATTCCCATAGCTAGTTGATTGATCATCCCGGTCTCCCACATTGTCCGGACATCCCATGTACCTATATTAATTGTTGCTCTGATTGTAAGAAAGAGCATCAATCTCGTGACTTCCAAAGAATCTCGGCTTGCACCATGAAGCGTCATAATTCTTCCTTCATTTCTCAGGGAAGAGTTTAAATGGTTTAATTTTTTATCAAGGTTTTTTCTGTGGGGTGGGGTTGCTGATCTAACACCTAACCCTCCTCTTTTACCCGAATTCGGGGCAGACAGTAACCATAGAAGAGCTGCGGGCGGTGTTCATCAAGTTGT